TGGGTTACTTTGTTTGATTAATATGAAGGTATTAGTTTTGAAAATTTGTACTAAGAAAAAAGTTTGGATTAGTTTGATAAGGAATATTGACGGTTGTAGGTGAAATGATTCTGTTGTGATTTTGGTGAAATGGGTACCTTTAGCTCAACAATTATTTTGAAAAATAGTTATGATCTTTCAAAATTTTATGAGTTTAAGACATATTAGATTTTTATCCATGGAGATTTTAGTGTTTTATGATTTTGTGGATCCTAGATATCCTAATCCGATTAATTTTTAGACATTAGTTTTAAAATTATGAAGAGGAAAAAGTTTAGTGAATTTAATTATGAGTAATGATAAGTTGTAAGTAATTTTTGTGTGAATTTGATAAGATAGTTACCTTAAAACTCAAGTTGATAATGGAGATTTTTTTTTTTTTAATCTTTGGAGATCCTATAAAATTGAGGTTGAAATTTTCGATTTTGGTGGTTTATTTCATGTTTGCTTATGAGTTTTGATGAATCTTTAATCATAATCTTTATTGTATCATTTAGAACCAAAGTATAAATCATTAAAAATGCAATGAAGTGATAAGTTTTTAAATGAAGTGACTTTAGCAGGATTTTATATAAATCGGATATTTTAAGCTTAAGAGTTATTGTAGAGAATGATATGGATCTTTTGAGGTGTCATGATATTGAAGTTTGATTTTGATCAATTAAGATTTTGAAGTTTTGTGATGGATTTATGTTGAATTTTTTTTTTTCATGGAGACAAGATATTTTTGTTAAAATAAAGTATGAAAATTTAGATTGACATGAATTTATATGAGGCTTTGAGATATTTATTATTATTGATTATAAATTTTTTTTATGAATTACGATTTTTTAGACTTACAATTATAGTCAATAGAAATTATAATGCAAATGAGGATTTCGATAATATTAATGTTATTTTGATTTCAATGAGTAATGCATAACTTTATGGTAAGAATTGACTTTTCAAGGATTTATTGGAATTCGATTATTATATGGGTATAGTATTACGGTTTTGAAATCTAAATGGATTTTGTTTATTATATTGTACTTGTGGTAAATAACATTATATGTAGAAATAAGGATATTTGTCCATATTGATATATTTTATTTTATTGGGAATTATTTGTCCTTGATGACAAGAGATAAAATCTTTTATAATTAGCTTAAAGTGTGAAAAATTATATTCGTACTTTGAAGACAAAGGATTTATTAATGGTCGTGTGATAAAATAGTGATTATGATTTTTGATTAAGACAAAATATGAGTTTATTTGAGTAATGTTAATAGAAAATATCACATATTATGGTATAAGACATATTATGATTCTTGCATGGAAACTAACATTGCAATCTATGAAAAATATCATTAAAAAAATGGATTTTGATTGAGTATTAAGAATTATAGAATTATGTTTTGCTAAAATTAAATCGTTGTGAAATAAGCATGTAGGACATATTAAACTACAAGGAAATTTTGAAACATTATGATGCTATAAACCTATAAATTTGGTGAAGATTTTGGTTGTTATTTGATAATTGGCTTATAGAAATCGAAAGCTATAAATATCCCAAATCATTACTTATGCTTCTTGATTGAATCAAAACGAGTTTGTTTCCTTGGGGCACCATTTGCAGGTCACTTATGCTCCTCGATTTGAGAGCCTTGATGACACTAAGGATAAGTTAGAAGGCAGAGGAAAAGAAATCCTTGCTAGATTGAATCGTAAACTTTTATATTACTCTAGAATGTTAGCTTTTTAATATTTCTATCTTTACCTATAATAGGAAAAACTTTCTATGTTTCCTTGCTAGTTGTGATAATATAGTCTCATACACATTATGTTCATATGTTGTGATATCAGCTCAAAGATCTAAAGGCCATTCAGTTCATCACCTGTGCACTTCCAATGAAGCTCCATTGCTTACTGCTTCATCTCAAGAATGCCTTCCCAAGCAGATAAATTCTAGGCTGAGGTAATAAGCTGTTCAAATTCACACTCCTATCTTCATCGTTGTTGGCTTTTTGAATTCTTCACCTATATAAACTATGGTTTTTTTTCTCCATGGGGATGTTGGAGATTCAGATTTCACGTCTCACACTAATAATGCTCTGATAACAAGAGTTTCATCTGACAAGGTGGTGACTATTCTCTTATCTATCATCCCTCATTTTGCTTCTTTAACTTGTTTACGGTTTGAAATTCGATTATAAAACTGAAGTGAACTGGTTCCTAGGTACCAAAGGGCCAGTAGCTCTTGTTTCTTTCTTTCATTTTCTTTATTACTCTTTGGCCTGTGAAGTTTACTGGCAGTGGCACATGGTAACCCCGTAGTTGGTTAAGACTTAAGATGAAGTCCTAAAGCTAAGCCAGGAAACCTATTGTGCAGCTTAACTGGCTTTCAGTTGCTAAATCCAAGTTGGATTAAGTCAAGTCCAGTTGGTTGGATTAGGACAGAATGCATCTCCATCTTAAGTATGTACACTGTCTTCTTTATGCATCTGGCATAGTGCTTATTACCCTGTGTAAAGAACAAGATAACCTAGTAGATTTGAGACGTTAGAGGAAAAAATCGTGTCTTTTGGGATTGTTGTAATTTTAAATATAGATATTTGTTCAGGTCACTGTTGCGATTTTCTTACTTGCCTTTCACCTTTGCTTGCTTTACTTTTGCTTTTGTTCTTCAACCACTTGCCATTTCTGTCACTTTGGTCGCCGGTTATTTGGCCCTGGTTGCTTAATTGAAAGAAGAAATTCTGTATAATGTAACTTTTTACGTTGTGGAGAGAGACTTGTCATCAAATTTTGTTTCCTTCCCTCCCCCTTATTTACCCTTCAGACAATGTTCTCAAGTGAACTATCCAACAGTTGCAGACTCTCTTGCATTAGAATTTTGTTGTTGTAGGCATTTTTGAATGATAGGTAATTCTCTTTACGCTCAAGAGTCTTAACTGCCGATTTGCGGAATAGTACGTAAGGCCTAATATCTGTTCGAAGTCTGTGGGGATTTTATTTTTCTTTAGCACTCTACAGTCCACTCATCTTTTGATAAATTAATTAGTATTGCATTACAACCATTTGGCAATCCACATTGTAAATTGAACACCAAACTTTTCATCAGGCTGGAGTTTTTGCCTTCTGTTTAATATTTTGATTTGTCAGAGTTTTCTAACTTTTTCTGTTATTCTACTGGATTCTTTTGGACAGCACAGACAAATTCAATATTTTGTGAATGTTGGGATTTTTTCCTTCTTTTTTTAGTTTCAAACTTTGACCTTTTATGCATAGTTGTGGAATTTGACTGATAAATATTTGCCCTTTGCCATTGTTCATCTTTCCTCTTCGTTCAGGATTACTTCCCCTCCCAGTCAATGAATCAGACGGCTAAAAAGGTCAGGGACAGGCTCAATAAGGTGATAAATCTCTCTAATGCATGCCCTTTTGATGAATATTTAAGTTGTGCTATATTTTAATAGTAATAATTTTTTTTCTTTTTCTCCCCAATTGCATTAGATTCAATCAAGCACTGAGCATCTACAAGCTGGAACTGCATCCAAGAAAACACGAGTGGACAATGGAAGAAGAATCCGATGAAATTTTTAGGATAGAGTGGGGGGGGGGGTGGATATGAAAATTCAGTAAAGTAACACTCAGCAAAACTTGCGTGGAAAGGTCTTTGTCTGTTTGCCCTTCGGTTATGGTGTCCCTAGTTTACTGGGAATGCACAGTGTACAAGACGGGCAGAAAAGGAGGAACACAAGAAGTGGAGCATAGCTGGAAACTGGAAAGGAAGTGGTAGACAAAACTTTTGGTTTTGGGATGAGATTTGTCGACAATTGTCAGTTACTAATTGATCAGACCTTTGACCTTCTCCAAGTTTCAATGCACTTGCCGGTACCACCAGCGGTCTGGGAACTTCGTGCTTCATGAGAATCGTCAGGCATCGCAAACAAGAAACTTGTAACTGAGAGGAGTGGAGAGTAAAAAATAGGGTTTATTTTATCGAAATATCAAGAGCAAAAGTAGACAACAAGACAAAGACCAATGTAATACTCCCATTTAGAGCTGTAATCAAGCTAATTTAAGTTAATATGACATAAAATTTGAGTTTAAATTCAATTTAAAATTTAAAATTTGAAATTAAATTTAAATTCGATTAAATTTTAATTTTTTTAATTTAAATTTAACTTAAAATAAAAATCAAATTATTTGAATTTATTCAATTAAATATATAAAAATAAACTGATTTTATATTTAATAAAAATATGATTATTTATGTTTTCAAATTTAAAATATTTTATTAATTAAAATATATTAAAATAAAAATTCAATTAGACTTATAAATTATTCAAATCAAATATAAAAATAATCAAATTTAATTTAATCAATAAATTAAATTATTTAAATTTAATTTAATAATAATTAATTTAAATTTAAATTTTATTTAAATTAAATTCAAATAATTTATTAATATTAATGTATTATTTATGCGCTTACTACGGGGAGTAACTGTGTTTACCTCTTTGCCTCTCTTTTTTAACGACCACCAACACCATTTTTTTAATTTTCTTTGCTGTTTATCTTTACACCACTTTCTCTTTGAATAGATGTCAGAGCATCAGGAGCAACGCTGCAGATTTGGCCGATTACAATCATGACTCAAAGTCACGCGCAAACCTCCCAAGCAAGGCGTCATGGTTAGTAATAGACAATTGCATCTTGGCATAAAATTAAAACTGACAGAGGTTACATATTTCAAAATATTTATGTATAATATTTTCTTCATTCGTATAAATATAAATTTTTCGTCGAAATAACATTAAGCTACAAGAGCTTAAGGGTATGCGGATAGACAGAGTAAAATTTTTTTTTTAAAAAAACAATTTTTCTTAGACAAGCCGTCAGACTCGGGGAACACCCAGCGTCGTGCGCCTCACGAAAACAAACGCAAAAATGACAAAAGAAAGAGGAAGAGCAAAGGATGCTATGTAAACACCATTTCAAGAAACTTTTTACTTTTCATAAATTGTCTGGTTGGGGTAAAGAAAATGCTGGCATGTCACACGGATGAAAAGGGTGTAAATTTTTCATCTTTTGGGTAATTTGCATCACAGTTTAGGATAAGTACACTTGGACGCCGGCTGTTTTCATTACCTGGCATACAGGACAAATACTGATTATTACATCACAGTCTTTACATAAGCAAAGGTGCCTACACGGCATCAACAAAATGGAGACCTCCTTTGCCTTGCATGCTCTGCAAATCATGTGTTCCTTCATGCCACGGTGATTTCTGGAAACAGACTTTGGAGCACCAACAGGAATGCTGAGAAAGTTGTTCGGATCAATATAAGAGACAGCATCATCAACTTCACTGTCTCCAAAACCTTCCTTCCCCTGTTCAGCACCCTGTGAGATTACTTGCTGAAGGTTGCTCTTCAAGCAGTTAACAACCGACTCATTGTATTTCGCTCTACGGTGCCAATTATGGGCTTCTATTGACACCTGCTTTATTCTCTCAACCAGTTCCCTATTCTTGCGATTCATGGTCTCTAGTTCTATGTCTTTCTCCCTAAGCTTCTTGCTAACGCCTTTCTCAATAGCATCAAGAAAAGAAGCCATGTGTCTCTGCTTCATGTCTCTTATTCCCTTTGTCAAGTGCTCTTCCTGATTAAGAAAAGAAATGAATCAAAAGTTCCAAAGAACAGCATCTTACCATCACATTTAAACCAAATATCCAATTAGATAGCTCTATTACTGACTTTTTGAGTATCATAATGTGAATGCTAGACAAGGAGATATGAATAACAAAGAACTGAGCAAACATCCTCGGCATTTTAACACTAGCACAACAAACAACCATGAGCATGTGAAATGTATTGACTATGAAATACCATGTCATTATCATGAAAGAACTTAGGAGCCTGGAAGTGAGGATAGCTCCAACACAGAAGATTCATCTGGATTATTGTAAACAAAAAAGTAATAAGTGCCTTTGGGCCAGCCAAAAGCAAATGCATCAGCATAAATATGAATTATTAAAAACTACTATGCAACGTATCGGTTAATCTAAATAAGGGAATGGTCCATAGCAGAAGAGCAGCCTATAGTTCAAACTTTCTGAAAAAGGAAAGCATCTTATTGTAATTAAACCGTTTGATTCTGTAATTAAGAAACCCCTCATATCGAGAGAAAAGATTAAAAGGTGACATACTATGTTTCTTGGTGGGGAAGACTGCAATAGTACCTGAATTTTGATATATTGATCAAATTCCTCTTTCTGACGATCAAGTTCACTTCTAATGTTGTCACCAAGTGACAAGATCATTGATGGCCCTTGTGTCATGCTTCCACTAGCAGAAGTCACAGATGAGTTCCGCTCATCATCATCATAAGATAGCCGTAAGCCAGTTGACACGGCATTAGGATTTGGAATGCTAGCTGAATGGTCAGCTTCCTCTTTACAAATGTTATAATTCAAGGAAATTTGTAGCTTTTGCTGCCTTTGAATATCTTCTGCTTCCCTGCCTCTTTTATTGGGTTGAATCATGGGTGCGAGATGCTCATTTCCAAAATAATTCACAGGATCAATGGTACACCCGGCTGGCACTGAAAGTTTAACAAAATATGGATCAGTTACAGTTAAAAAATTCAGAACAAAAAAAAAAGAGGATGAATTTGGGCGGTTTTGCCTGACAAAATAGCACTGTGAAAGAAATAAATGCAGAATCTAATTGCTAAATAAAAGAAAAAATAACTTACAGCTTCCAAATAATTGCAGTTGATTCGATGCACTAGCCTGATACTGAAGACTATTCTCATCCAGGAAAATGGGAAGCACAGGATTACTGTTGTTGCCTCCTAACATTTTCCTATCTTATAACCTAAACTGCTATAATTTATATAGCTCTCTGAACAGTGACAACTGAGAATTTGCCTGCACAAGCAAGGAAATATGGTTAAAATCCAAATTATCAATCTGGCGATAGTGAAAATTCTAGCAATGTTAAAAAATGTCAGCATAACAGTCAGATCCAACTAAATGCATCAATCAAAGCTTGCAGAATAAAGTCAACTGCCACCTAAATTATCAGTATTACAGAATAACAAAATATCTCAACAATTTAACTTTATATATTTTCTGTTGCCATAAAAAGCATTGCCACCATTTTTACATGCAGGTATAAGCAACAAGGGATTAAATCAACTTTATATATGACTGAAAGTTTGTTAAAAAAGATAGTTTTGATGAGAATCTGAACAGAAAAATGTATCAAACACGCGCACATGTTACAAAACATGTAATAACCTCAGGATGTTATTTCAATTACTTCACCATCATAAAATCAACCGGTTACACAAGTAAATTCCAGTCATACTCTTTATAGTAGCTTCTAGTAAATTATGGAAGAAGGAAATATGGCACAATGACTCCAGGATAAAAGTTCACTATCTCCTCCTTCAACATTGCCATAATGCAGTGCCCAAATATACTCAACATTTATGAGATACATGATCCAATCCAAATTTTTTATCAACAAAAATACACGACCATGCGTTCTATCAAACACTACAAGGACAAATACATGCACACGAACGTACACGAACCCCATTCATATCAACAATAAGGAAGTTTTTAGGATTCAAATACAAATGTGTCATAGAAACACCTTATTCTAAGCTGATGTGGCCTGTGAAAATATTTGGAAACTCTGCTAGAAATAGTAGGATGCAAATAGAGGGAGGAGAGAGCACTTCTGTAAAGTTCTACCTCAATATTCTCTTTATTTTTTTTACGGAATTGCTCTCTAGATCGTCGATCTTCAAATTAACTGCCAAAAGTAGATCCTATAGTGCAATGGGTAGAAAAAGGATCACGTCAATAACTTAGTGATGGTCTCAAAAATCAAACTTGGTAAAAAAAAGGACTGATAAATTATGGATATTGCTTCCTAAACAAAAAAATTGATACCTTCACAAAATATATAATTTTCTTTTTCTTTTTTTTTTTTGGTTAAAAAGAAATTCCATGATATTCAAAGATAGATAAGCGAAGGTAAAACCTGAACAAGAAAGAAGCCGTGAGATGGATAGTGGGGAAAGCAGGAAAGGAGAATATTGAGATCAAAACTGAAAACAAAAAGATAACCATACATATCAATCAGGTTTTGACAATGGAGGTAATAATCTTACACAAAATGCGAAGATTTAAGCTTTGCTTTGTAGAAAGAATGGAAAGGGGGCGATGACGAAAATCTTCTTAATCTAATGGTTAAGCTACAAAGTATTAACAAGTTTCCATAATAACCTCTTTCCATCCTTCTTACCAAGGAAAGCCTATCTCTTTGCCGGTTCCGATGAATCTCCCAACAAAAGAAAATAAAAGACAAACGGAAAAAGTAAAAAGAACCTAAAGAAAACATCATCAAAGGCATGAAAAACCCAACAATCACAAAAACAAGTTACCCGCTGCGATACGAAAAGCTCTTTTGATTCAGTTCCAACAACACTAACTGCACAGATCCTGCTATTCCAAACCAATCTTCAATCACCCATAAAAAAAAAGTTAAAACCATAAATAAATAAAATATATTAAAATGAACAAAATACCGAATAAAAAACGCCCCTAAACTGTAACGTTTATGAAGAAGATATCAAAGAGAGGAACCGATCATTTAGGATCTGAAAGGATTGGCCTTTAAAAAGCAAATATTATTGAAAGAAAGAAAGAAACGGACGAATAGAGGAAATGAAGGGAGAAGAATAAAAATAAAAGGAGAAAAGAGAAGGGGAGAAGCAGACGGGGAATGGGGAGAGCAGAATTATTGAAATAATAATAATAATAATCGGCGGTACAAACAAAGTGGCTGTCTTTCTTACCTCAGTGGTTACGCAACCGATTTCCGTTCCTTTCCTTTTTCTTTTCTTTTTCTTTTCTGTTCGTCAGAAATCAGTATTACTAACAATTAGTAACAGTAAAAAAAACTACTAAAAACTGAAAAAAAAAAAAAAAAAGGCTATGTATTTTAATCATCTGGGTTTTTTTAAAATAATTTTTGGAGTTATCGAGGAATGAGCAGTTTTTATTTCGATTATTTAAGCTTGATTTGATACCGTTCCCCCAGTTCGCGTTACGTTTGGATTGCAGAAGGGAGGGAGAGTTACGGATTCAAGATTTTTTTATAATAAATATATTATAAATTTATTTATAAATTTATTAATTTTATTGATGAAAGATATGTTTATGAAAATTTTTAGAAATATTTTAAAAAATATTATTTTTTAATTTTTGAAGTATTTATGAAAAAATTTTAAAAGTGTTCAAAAAATTTTTTTTTTTTTATTTTCAACTTTTAAGTGTACACCCTACTTCATAATGTAAATCCCCACTTGAAGGAGAGGTGAAAAAAAAAGTAGGAATAAATTTTAATTTTAATTTTATATTTTATTAATAATTTTTTAAAAAAATTACAATCATTTTCATTGAATTTTTTCATATTTTATTAATCCCTGGGCATTACAAAGATTATAAAAATTAAACAAATTTTATTGTTATAAAACGAAAGTGATTTAAGGTGTAAAAAAACGAAAGTGATTTATTTTTATTTTAAATATTTATTTTTAATCATTAACTCATAAAATATTGAAAGCTTATAATTAATATAATAATATTTGATGATTTTTTATCTTCCTCAATTTATTATGGAATGAAAATTTTACAGTCGTAATATTGCAATTTTTGGTCATTTTCATCGTATTTGAGGTTAGTTTGTCTTTTTTATTTATTTTTTGAATATATACGATTGTTGTTTTTATTTTTTATTTGTTTTTTTAATTTTATTCCAATGAAAGTATGAGTAAGTTTTAAAAAATTCAAATTTTAAAAAGTTATAATTTTTATATATTAATGTACATATATATTTGCATATATATTTTTTAAGAAAATGGTTAAAGGTGTTTGTTAAATGTTAAGTATATTTGTGGAAAAAAAATGCACTTATATTAATTTAAATTTTATATTTTTTAATTTTTGAATCAAAATAATTAAAATTAAAAATATTATTTTGATCTAAATTAATTATGATTTTAATTTTAATTTAATAAAAAATTAAAGACTGAATTTTTACTCTTTATGAAAATTATTAAATAAATATGTACCATTTTTATCTTTATTTGTAAAATTTTAAAAATATTCATTGTTATTATGTAAAATAATAATCTATAAAAAATAATATATAAAACAATCTATGCCATATATAATATATTCAATGCCATTACGAACTTAAGTAGTTAGGTCTATAACGGCATCGAATGTTTTGTCAAATACTGAAGCTCATTCACATTTAAATGCGAGCTAGGAAGTAATAAAAATATAAAAGCATACTAAAATAATGAAATAAATAATTATATTGGCGAAAAAAATACACAATATTTTAAAAGACGGACATACACACACGTCTCATATTCCATTAGATGATACGTCCGTTCAACACTATACTAAGCAAATTGGAAGATTGAAGGCACAACCTTTTGTCATTCCTTTGATTTGAAAAAAAAAATAATTTTATTAATTTTTTATTTTTACAGCAACAGATAATTTGTACTAGTAAATTTTTTATGTTTTGAAATTTATGATAAATATTTAATTAAGAGAAATTTAAAGATAAATAAATTATTCAATCTTTCTGTAATTATAAATCATACATTTAAAATAATTCTAATAAATAATTATCAAAATTATTCGAATCTAAAAATATTTTATAAAAAAAAATAAACTTAATCTATTGAAACAATCAAATTATGATTACCGTAACTGTACCAAAGTTTGATGATTGTAATAGTTTATCGGGGGAATGATGAAAACATACATATCAAGGTGACGGTGGATAAAAATTCCATTAAAAAAAATCCAAGTCTATTATGCTTAGCACCAAAAATTTAGATTAAAATATTAAAAAATTCTTATATTATTTATTTTAAATAATTTTTTATAATTTAATTATATGTAAATAAATTTTTATATTTTTATTATATGCAAATAAAATGAAAAAATAATTTATATTAAGAATTTATTTAAATATAAATTAAAAATTTAAAAATTTATTTGGATATAAATTTATGTTAAGGGTTTATATAGACATAAATTAGAAATTTAAAAATTTATTTAGATATAAATTTATGTTAAAAGTTTATATAAGTATAAATTAAAATTAAAAACTTATTTGAATACAAATTAAAAGTTAAAAGATTATTTTGATTCAAATTAAAAATTAAGAACTTATTTAAATATAATGATTTATTTAAGTAAAATTAATGATTCAAAGACTTTTTTATTATTTTAGTCAAAAATTTATTCCATCAACCGAATATAAACTAGTATCTCAATTCATAACCAAATGATATTAACTTATATAACAATCAAATTATAAATATAATAAAATTTATATATTTTTATTTATAATATAAAAGTATAACTAAAAAAAATTTAACGAATAATTCATGAATAAATTTATTTTTTTATATTTATTTAATTTATAAAATTTAATAAACAATCACAAATAATATTTTAAAATTTATTAAATAAATAAATAAATTTAAAATAAAATAAAATAAAATTCATAATTAATTCTTTTATACCACTGAAAAAATAAAAACCACACGTTTGAAAGATGATTTTTTTAAGTTAAATAATCAGACATTTTAATAATAAAAGGAATCATTCTCGTAGTGCAAAATGTGAGGCTAAAGAAATGGAGGCCGCTTCACAATCCACAAGCTGAAGTCATATATTCGTCAATCATTCCATCATCTTCACATTCTCCATCGGCATAATTTTCGTTGAATTTTCCTTAAGTTTTGAGATTCTTTTCATTTTGGTCCACTGAATTTGGTGTATCCCCTGACTAAACTTTTGTAAGAGGAGTATTCCACTAAGAAATTTCTTTTAAAAATATTGTAAAATAAATCTAAAATTTGATAATTTCGATTCTACCACAGAAAGTTGTAAACTTACATTTTATTTTCACATATATCATCAAAATTTCATTTGTACCAAACTGGTTATCAAATTAAGAAATTTATTGTATCAAATCTAATTATTAAGTCAAAGATTATTAAAATTCAATCACACATTGTAGGTTTATATCGAAATTTATATACTTTTGTTACAAAAAAGTATTAAAAAATAAAAAGAAGAAAAATTGATCCAATTTGACCTAAAATAACGTAACCACATCAGCATATGCCCTTGAATTTTTAGGGTCCTTCATGGATAGACCAATCCATGGGCTTGGCATAATCCAAAGAATACACAGATTTTATAGCCCAAATTCGGTTTGATTCAATCAGTAAAAATGTTATATTTTAATTTTTTATTTAATTTTAAAATATATTGAAAAATATTAAAAATTTAATGCATAATATTTTTAAATATGTTAATGATAAAATTTAAGTTCAATGGGATTAAATAGACAAGCGAACAAAACTTGGTGTACTACATTTGTTATTTATTTTTAAAGTATAATAAATAACAAATAATAAATATAATTAAAATTTTAAATTATAATACATAAAATTAGATTAAAAATAAAAAGTAAAATTAATAAATACTAATTTTAATGTAAGAACCAATTTAATAACAATATATGAAAAACTATAATATATAATATATATTATATATTAAAGGGATCTTGAAACTTTAGGCCCCCTCTAGTTTTAATGGTGGTCCGCCAATGTTTGTACATATGGAACAACAACTACAGAAATTAGTTCTTAAGTACTCCACAAGCTCTTCTAAATTTGAACATTGTGCTCTAATAGTTATACTCAATGAAATGCTTGTAGTGGAATCATCAACAATCACTTCAAATACATCATTGATTAAGGGGTCATTTGGATTCAGTTACATCTTCAGTGGAATGCGGTTGGAATCTTCAATTGAATTGAAATTATGTTTGGCACATCAGTGTAGTGTAATGGGATGTTTTTTTAACCGCACAAGACCCTTGTTTTTTCGCTGGATGTTGTCATCTGCAGTGGAAATGTTCTTGCCCATCGCAGCTCTTTTTTCCCAGTGTTACCCCAATTCTTTAATAAACTAATTAATAGTTAAAATAATAAATACATAAAAAATAGTTAATTTTATAATTAAATAAATTATTGATGAATGAAAAAATAAAATAGATAACTATATAAATAATAAAGTAAATAAATATTAGTTGCTTTTATTCTAAGATGTATAAATATATTTATTTCTTACAAAATATTATTTTGTTAAGTTTAATTTTTATAAACATATTATTACTAATTTTTAACAAATTTAGGATTTGATAAAAATAATTTATAAATTTCTAATTATTTTTTAAATTTATAAATATCAAATATATTATTAAATTTATATATACAATTTTAATCTAATGTTTATAATAGTAATTTTTTATTATATTTTATCTCACCGTTGTTATTATTGTTTTTATGTTCAAATATATATCCTACTAATAATTTTAATCTCATTACTATAGTAATTAATAACATCATTGTAATAATTAATTTTACCTTCACCATTATTTTCAATATCAATGAAATCAATCTTATTGTTCATCTAAATGGATCCTAACTCCAAAAATGAGTTTCTATCATCATCAAATTTGGATCCCTTGCCGATTTGAGTTGAAATGAACAACCAAATCAACCAAATCATGCAAATTCCAACCAGCCATCAATGACCGTTACAACAAGAATATTTCTTTCTATTAGAATATGTAAGTAATATATTTTGACAATCTAACAGTGAGTGTAGAAATAATTGAAGAAATCTTGAAACTACGGTTCTAAATCTTAAACCCATATACATTAGGGTTTCACTTA